TGACTTGAGGGGACAGATTGATTAGTTTGTTGGGTTGAGCTAAGAACAAAGCAAATCCTCGTTCCTTCTGACTCCGTTTCAGCAAGAGGGTTGTGAGAGTCACGTGTATTGTAGCTATTCTGGGCTCGCCACTGTTGACACGATTGACCTAACTGTAATTGACTTCCCAACGCCAATTCCCACTAACCAAGTTATTCTGCTAATTCGAGATATGGATGAGCTAACAACCCTTGGTGAATGGCTCTATAAGACACCCCTCACTGACTTGCCAGCTGAGCTCTTCGTCTTGATCGTTGAAAAACTTGATATTCGTTCAATTGTGCGCTTGTGTGTGGTGAGTACTTATGGCTGAGACGAATAGACTCTAACTGTAAGTTTGGAGAGCAATTGTTAACTGGGCCCATGCGTATAGGTGTCCCATTCCATGCAAGATCGCATCAAGAGTCACACCGTCGCGATGGCTCTGGTAGTCCGATTTCTGAGCGAAGCACGGATCCCAGCTGCTTCGTTCTCGCTCTCAAAGATGGGGCCCTCCGATCTATTTAAGCTTATCACTCGCCGCGAGCGCTTCCTATGGATGACAGGTCACGCACCTTCTGCTGGGCCTCTACAAGGAAGGCGCACTGATATCAATCTAGTCATCCCCGAGTCGGCCGAAGCCTTCCCTCCTCCTGGGCACATCACCTACGAAGGTGGTCATTGTGAATACCCCAACGGAACGCCTTTGCTTCTTCCTGGTGGACGATGGATTGTTGTTCTTTCTGGCCTCGATCGCAATTGGCACTTCTCGTGTTATGATCTTCAGACCCTTGTCCCCGATGACTTCTATCAGCCCGTTACTACGCTGGCTCTTAATCCTGACATTCAGGGTTATTCCATCTGGATCCACCAACACAGCTCTTGTGCAGAGGACTCTACGTTCAATTTCCTTCTCTCTTCTGCGAGACCGGGCGTGACCTCTATTCCATGGCAACGCGAGTCAGTCCTTGGCCGTTTGGCTCTCTTTTAACTATTATCTCATCACACATTCTCATGACAGATGGTACTGCTTTATCCGCTTGCACACCGATCCATTCATAAACATCGCAACGCTCTCTAATATTCCACTCCCTGCTATCTTTTACACCCATGACTGGAATTTAACTCTTGCAGGACACTTTATCTCATTTGAGAGTCCGCCTGTCCTCAGCCATACGGCCCTTTCTGAGGCACTTGTATGGAACGCAAGGGAAGATATCATATCAAACGTTACACCTCTTCGCCCTGCTACAAATGATGCCCCCCAAATACAGACGGCGCGGTTCATCCCGACCTGTGATGGGGACTTATTAGAGCTCTTTGTGTCTGCAGACGATTCTAAATCTACAATGATGCTCACATTCACCATGTGGACTCTCACGTCCAACAATATGCCAGGCAATATTACGCTCCAATCCATGCAATCACACTCCATCCCTGTCGAGATAGGCATGGCAGCTATAGGACAAGAAGTCACCCATGTGAGCATCAATGGATGGTCCGAGACTATCAACGAGGTTTTCATAAAATTACGGATTCGCCGAGGGTGGCAACAGCTACTTTTATACCTCACTCTCAATAAAGAGAGTAAGATCCCTCGAATCCTTCATTCGGAGGGCCTTCAGAACAGTGACCTTGACAATCTATCCGCTCAGCCGCAAAGTGTCCGCGGTCCTGCTCTCCCTCCCAAGACACCTTTACCCTATGATCCAGGGGTAGCCATATCAGCTGGTTTTGTTTCCACCACCTGGAGACCCTATATCAGCGCGGAAATCATAGAGCCTACTGGCTTACCCAATCATATCCGCCTACCAAACCTACTGGCAGAAACAAATCCTCAAGCCCTTTTGCGTATCTCGCCCAAGTTTGGTCCTCATAACGGCTGGATGGTTTTCGAGGCAAGGCACGATGATGGTAGCTTTGAGTGTGGCTCAAATGATTATACGTTTTGTCAATGGTCGGGCCGATGGCTACTCCCGTCGATGCGGCTTATAGCTCAGGAGAAACCCCAGTACGGCTATGAAGACGACATCTTGGGCGACAACAGCAATAGCAAAGCTAAGCCCGTAACCTCCCCAGTTCAGAAACAGTTCCGCCCCTACATGGTCGTAGATCCAGTAGAATGACGCCCTGTCGAACCTCCGACGAAATAGTCGCGTACTAATCTCCTTTATAAGTATGCATTCAGTGGGTAGCGCCACAAGGCATCTCATCTTAAGCTTGGTGCATCAAAATTTACGTGAGCGTGGGGGGTTAGCCGCTAAGAGACTAATCTTGGTGATCGTTACTCCCGGGCGCCATGCACCATCTCGGAAGCGCTCGCATGAAGTAATTTCCATCTACCCTCATGCGTTATCAAATATTATAACAGCCAGAGCCTAGCTTGTGCGTCGAAGCAATATATATTAGCTTTCGCTAAAACTGTACTATTGTAACACCGTCTCCAAGACCAAAAAAAAACATCAACCATTAAAAGGCATTCTATATGACCAAGCTTGACAGAAGAGTTGGGCGGTGTTTGGAACGGAGTTTATTATACCTCTCCCCATATATCCGTGCCAGACTGTTTGATCGGGCAACCTTGTGATATCCGAACAACCGTCGATCGCAGAACGCCTCGATAATGAACTGGCCCTCGCCTGTCCACTCTTTATTAATGCGATATCGAAAAGCTGCGCCTCGGATAGCAATGATGTCTCCTGAATCGATGCGTATACGGACTCCAAGTTCAGGGATCTCGACGTATGCGTCATCATAATCACCATAAGCTGCTATTACGTCCAGTCTATGATGAGTCATGTCGATGGTGAGAGGATATGAAAGAGTGCAAAACTGGTGGTGCCTACCCCTGGAAATAACGGGTCTCATGTCGCCGGCCGTCTTGCGAGGGTGGAACCATCTTCACTTGCACGGGTTCAACTTCCTCACCATCATCATCAACATTATTTGACTTTGCAGGAAGCGCGTCGCCAGGCCGCAGTGGCTTGGAATTGAAATGGAGGCCTATCGCAGGGAAGTGTGATGGCCCCTTGCTAAGGAGATCACCATACTCATTCTTCCGAGCGCTAATAGCGTTTCGAAGCACCCGCATTTGCTGAGCCAGTTTGAAGTCCAATTGTTCCACAACCACATTGATAATATCAAATGCTGGTCCCGTGGACTCGAAGAACCCTTCCCAACATTCGATCTGACCGGGTAAGAGGAGCTCCGCTGGAGCCGAGGGCCCCTTCTCCTATTAGAATATTAGCGATTGTTTAGGACAACGACATTTCTAAAGAAGAAGATCTCACAAAGTGACCCGGCTGAAACCCTGGAAGAAGATAGTTGTGATACTACTTTGTGAGTCCAATCAAAGGATGAGGACGTACGTTTCGCATAGTAGCACTTCCCTGCTTTAAACGGCGAGTTTGGGATGTCGGCATAATAGTCTTGCCCTTTGGTACGAGTTAGTCTTCTATATTGTTTGGAGAAGGCCGCTCCAGCCTCGATGACCTCGCTCTCGAAAGGAAGTATGAGCATGTCATCCAAACATAGACAGATTGAAGGTTTTGGGATACCTGTAACTCATCGGACTGCGTCCCACAGAACTTGACGAATAGAGGGACACCATTCATGTCCTCAATTATGCCTCCATCTGGCCAATCCAGCGTCACTAGCCCAGGAGCTCTACCCGGATAGAGGAGAGATCTCAGGTCACCATGTCGTTATCGATGTCATGAAGGAATTGATGCTTACTGGGGAGGAAGGTAGTTGGGTAGCGCTTTAGACAATGGGAACGACTCTTCGGTATTCGAGAATCTGATTGGGTGAGGCGGCCGCGAGTCGGAAAGTGAGTATCGCCGCAGTGCAGTGAGAATGCAATCAAACATACGTGCGGCTCCCTGGCATAGCCTTATCGCGCACCTTAGCCATGGCAGCATAGTCAAGTCCATCTACCTTGACTGAAAAACCAAAGCAACGCTAGTCAATACAGTTGATAGAGATCTGAATTGTTCTAGTGCTCACTAGCATTCTTGGCGGCCGCTGCGAAAACGGCGTTGAGTCTTTCGTTTGAAGCCTTGTTGGGCAGGATGACCGGGTCTTGACGTTTTATTCCGAGCCAAACTCTATTCTTCTGTGGAGTTTTCTTCCTATTGTGGCATGGGAGTGTATCGAAGGATGTTGAGCAGGAAGAGGTAAGACCAAGGATATTAATGTTGTGGTGCATACTGGGATTTAGGACCGGTTTTCTTCTTTTGCGCCGCGCTCTTGGGTTTGGGCGGCGCAATAGGTGGTGGAAGTGTCTTGTTTCGGACCTGAACCCCAGGCTTCTCAGCTTTCGGGACGATGGACTCAGAGGTGTCGCCAAGATACTGCCGCTTGGGTGGCGGGCTGCCAGCATCCTCGTTGAAGGACCGGCGACGTCGCTTCAATCCGTTGTCGTTCTGGTTCAATATGAGTGGCTTCGAGTCCTCCACATCTTCAACTTTAACTTTCATTGTCGAGGGAATTGATGGCGGGCCGCGGGAGCTTTGCGGTTGGAGTGAACCGAAAGAATCAGGTCACATGACCAGTCGCTATTTCCTAAATTCAATCGATGAGAAATGGGAGGCACTGATGAGAGGTTTCGAGGAAGGTATAAATTCGCTATAATATATCACAGCAAGTGATTGCGTGAGATAATATGGGGGATTGTGGGCCGGAGCCACACAAAGCGTTGGAAAGCGTTGTGGCACTTGGTCCTGGGTCACAAGAATTGGAGGCACCCTCAAACACTAGCATGGATCTTAGGATGGGCCGTTGTACGGGAGTAGCTGGCGGGAAGGGACCCGCTGTCTCAGGGCAGCCGACACAATTCAGCATACCTGCCCAAATTCCAAAAACTTCTGATGTATCAGCCCCACAAGCGGCAATAGATTGGATTGGAGACTGCCCCCTTGTGAGCGAAGACCCCAAACTATATAAGTCAATATGTTTTATTTACCCCGCAATTCGTCGTATCGGACGCTTTGACCGAGTGGTTAAGGTGCATCCCTGCTAAGGATGTGGGCTCTGCCCGCGTGTGTTCGAATCGCACAGGCGTCGTTGTTTTTTTTTCCTGCTGGTTCGGAATGCCTCTGTACTAATCGAGCCACAGAACAGCGGATACGTTGCTCCATCGTATCATTCATCAACCTCCACTGTCTGCCCTATCACATGGTGTATACCTTGGGTTCTGTGCGGGCGGATCCTTTTTGCTTGGCTGTATGTACGCCGGGACCGCACTACTGACACTTGTCCACGTCTGCCCAGGATCATTACGCGCTGTGCCTTGTAAACCTCATTCTTAACAAGCTTAAAGCTCTCTAACTTTGGCAACCGGTAATTCCTTAATTACGACGCCATGTCAGCGTCGATACCAGCGTCGTATGTGAGTCTACATACACCTGGTGTTCCCAAAGAACACCTCATCCATGCAGAGATCGTTGCTGTCACATCAGCAATGCGCAAGAATGCGCGCTGGTCCAGCACATCTACTTATGCATATGCCAGGAACGCTGCAAAGCTGAATGGGAGCTCGATGGCGCTTTATCGGAATGGCGCTGGAGCTGCCGTTGGTGGCGGAGGTGCTGGCGGAATGGGCGCTGGGACATCACGACGTGAACCACCAAGAGAATCTGACCTTATGACTGCGTTCGACAGCCTGAAGCGGGATGTCAGCCGGATCGAAGGTATGTGTGCGAGTCCATCCCGTCGTGACACGACGAATGCAGCTACACCAGTAGACCTCTGATTTCTTCGTTCATTCATTCATGCAAGATGTATCCGAGCTTCCTCTCCCAACACTTCTTAACCCATTCATCGACCTCCTCCGCTCGTCTTTTTGTACTGGGCCTATCGCTGTGGCTGTCCTCTCTGCCATCCGTACGTTCTTCACCTACGAGCTCATTACCCCCAGCGGTGTGGATATCAAGCCGGCGCTTGTTGAGCTCAGCGATGCACTTGCACGCCTACGGTTTGAGGCCAGTGACCCTGCGTCCGATGAAGTTGTCTCCCTGCAATTACTCAAGGTCATCGAGCTGATGATGTGCTCGCCTGTGGGTGCATCACTAGGAGACGTTGAAGTTTGTGAGCTGTTGGAATCAGTGTTGACTATCTGCTGTCAAATGCGAAGAGCAGGTCAGTATCATCCTCAACTTGATGCTAAACTGTGCGTTTGTCCGCCACTGCTAACGGTTCTTATCAAACCGTCTCTCTGCACCTTGCTTGTCAACAGAGGTTTTGCGTCGTTCCGCAGAAGTCACCATGCATACTATAGTGCGTGTCGTCTCTGCACGTCTTGGAGATCTCGATCCCAAAGAGGCAGAAGATCAATTGGAGCGCGATGAAGAGGCAGAGCGTATCCGAACAGAAGGCACGGAAGGCGCCATCGAGGCATCTGCAGCCTCTGATACTGTCGACAGCCCAGAATCAGGGGCAACTCGGCCGAGAAGAGATACGGATGCCAATATAGCAATGACCGGCACAAGCACACCCGCTCCGACGAATAATAACACAAGTACGTTGATGGATCGTTTCCGACCAACTGGCATTGATGACCTCACGATGCATACCCCCCAACAAATTTCCTAATCTAGATCTACGCCCCTTCGGTCTTCTGTCCGTCCGCGAGCTTCTTCGGGTCGTCGTCAATCTCCTCGATCCCACCGACCCCGCCCACACTGACTCCATCCGACTCACCGCCCTTGGGATCATCACTGCCTCACTTACTATCTGTCTCCCTCACCTCGCTGCCTTCAAGCGCTCTCTCCTTCCCATCATCACCGATTCCTGCTGCAAGTACCTATTCCAGCTAGTTGCCTCTGCTGATGAAATCCAGTCCGGAGGGGCTGCAAACCATCATATGAGCATGCTAATCCTGGAACGGAGTTTGAGGGTGATTGGGATGTTGATAGGTGAAGAGAGCCTCCGAAGCTGCATGAAGTTGCAGGTGGAGCTTTTCTTGAGCTTCGTGATGGACCGCTTGGCGCCTCCTCCTGCGCCCGCCACCGCTCTCAACGGTGGTGCCCCCAACCTGCAGCTGGGTGTAGGTGGTGGTAAAGGCGGACACGCGCCCAAGGCTTCTAACCTTGGCCGTGCCAAGTCACCAACACCCGGTCCAGACGTGCCGTCTCGTTCATCCATGACCCTCTCTACCGCAGGTGCGCCGGAGGGAGAAGATGAGGACGCTGCAGCTTCCGAAGCGGGGTCTTCGAACGCCCCGCCAAGACTTGGCGTTCTACCAGCACGTGGAGAGACTCGTGAGCTGCTTATGGAGGCGCTTGTCCACATTGCAGTACGCCAGCCGTCGTTTGTCCCTGATTTGTGGGTCAACTACGACTGCGATCTCAACTGCGAAGATGTGTTTGATAAGCTGGTCAAGTTTTTGACTACTGTGAGTGAGATTACCTCAGTTGTAACGTGCTGGCTTCCTGACTCACTGTTTCTCATCCATCAGGACGCAGGGGCCGTGCCCAACTATACTTCGCAGCTAATGTCATTGGACCTCTTGCTTTCACTCGTGAATCACATGGCGTCGCGAGCCGAAAATGTGAGTTCTACCTGCTCGCCTCTTCTAAATCCGTTTGTTATCGTCCCCACTAACGACATTTCTGTCATATTGCCCTCCTGCGTGGACCTAACTATTTAGCCCCCACCTGAAGATCAAGTATGCTTATCTGCAGCCCATCGCGGCAATCTGTTTTATGTTCTGCAACTCAATCGATCATCACTTGTAGAAACTCCCCCAAACATCCGAAATGCTCGCTCTCAAAGAACAAAAGAAGCTCCTCCTTGCGGGTACAGCGCGGTTCAACGTGAAGCCCAAAAAGGGACTTACCTTCCTTGAAGAGAAGGGCCTCCTCACTACCGCCAAAGCATCGAACGGAACCGGCGAGTCAAGAAATAAGAGCCTGGCAACATTCTTGAAGAAGTCTCCGAGGCTGGACAAGAAATTGCTTGGGGAGTATATCTCAAGGACAGAGAATGCAGATGTGCTACGAGAATTTATAGGGCTCTACGATTTCCGTGGGGTGAGTCGTCAATAATTGCTCTTTGAACGAGGTTGCTTTCAATAAACAATGGAAACTGATCATATGCTCAACCACCAGAAATCCGTTGCTGACGCACTAAGAGAGCTGCTTGAGTCGTTCCGGTTACCTGGAGAGGCCCAACAAATTGATCGTATTACATCGACATTTGCAGAATGCTTCTTTGCTACAGGTCCAGGTACGAAACTTTGTTGCCTTCTCCTCACGCCATTGCGACCTTGGAGCTGCACCTCTCAATTTTCCACTCCCATTATCATTTTAGAGGAGATCAAAACACAGGACGCTGTATACGTTCTCGCCTTCGCGGTGATTATGCTAAATACAGACCAGCATAGTCCCAATATCCGGGTGCGTACACATCTTCCAGCATTAGATGGTTTTCTTTCTTGATAATTTTATTCTTAGAAACGCATGACTTTTGAAGATTTCCAGCGGAATCTGCGCGGCGTCAATGGAACCGTCGATTTTGAACCCGAGTACTTGGTAAGTTGTCCTCCATGATATGGCACATCTCACTCGCTCACAACACCCATGCCCCAAAGAGAGGGATCTTCGACAGCATCAAGAAGCGGGAGATTATCATGCCTCAAGAGCACACCGGCCAGGCTGGCTTCGACTATGCGTGGAAAGAGCTCATGAACCGATCGCAGTCATCAGGTGAGCGTTCGTTGCGTGCTCGATATCTCATTCTCGTTGACTTCTGTATGCGTCCCTGACCCTAACGCCCCGATTAGAACCTCTTATGACTTGCAACACAGCTCGCTTTGATGAGACAATCTTCAAACTCACCTGGCGATCGATCGTAAACGCCATCGCCAACGCTTTCACCACTTTTGATGATGAGCTCGTTGTGCAAGATGTCATTGCTGGCTTCAGGCAATGTGCCACGCTTGCAGCAAAATTCCAGCTCCCAGAAGTATTTGACTTCCTTGTGAGCTCGTTGTCTCGCGCGACGGGCTTGTTAGGCGACAACAATTCGAATATCACTCCGGGCTTGACCAACTTCCCGATTGTAGAGGTGGACACACAGAAAGTTACCGTATCTCCTTTGTCGATTCGCTTGGGTACAAGCTTTAGGGGCCAAATGGCTGCAGTTGTGCTCTTCACTATTGCTAATGGGAACGGGACCGCGATTCGTGATGGCTGGGCTCAGGTATTTGTCCGCCGGCCACAGAACTCGCCACCAATTCAACTGACCGATACCGGAGTAGATCTTCAGCATGTTCCAAACATTATTCTTGCACTCGTTACTACCAGCTAAGATGGTACAAGCAGAGGACTTCCTGGGCGGGGCATCAACAATCCCCCTCCAGGGTAACGCTTCGTCTCCTGTCGTTACCACTGGGCGCAACGATGGCGGCTTATTGTTTACGCTGTCGTCATATTTGATGACACCGTACGCACAGGAAGCGGCTGTACCTGAAGTCACGGATCGTGATATCGAAAGCACCATGAGTGCTATTGACTGCATTGCAGCATGCCGATTAGATGAGCTTTATCTCCAAATCCCGTGAGTTCTCGGATTGCAATCTATATTTCCGACAAGCTCTCTGACCTCCCCCCCATCTTGACAGTCAACTGGATGTCCGCTCTCTTGTCTCATCAATCAAGGCTCTAGTCGAGCTCGCCGACCGCCGCACGCTCCAGCCGCTTCAATTAGAATACGAAGAGGAAGATGATCGGTCACAACGAAATTCTCGACCTCTTCCATATGACCCGTCGTCCGTGTTCCTTTTGGAGACCATGATCAGCCTAACGCTGCGTACTGAAGATAAAATTGAAGACATCTGGTGCGCTCAATTTGGACCGTCGCCGCACCTGACACTCCAATAATGCCGATTCGTCATCCTTGCAGGCCTGTTGTGTTCCCTCATATCAGCTCCGTGCTTTCTTCAGCGCCCCGGTTCAGTGTACTGCTAATCGAACGGGCAGTAGTGGGTCTGCTTAGAGTCACCCTAATCCTCGCTGCGAAGGTCTGTAGCATTAATGCCATACGGCCATTCTCAACGCTCACGC